AGAAGGTGGAGACCCTTGTGAATCCAGAGGTCGTGGCCAAGCGATCAATTCCCTTGAAAGATCTTCCGAAGCCACTTACATGGGAAGCAGACTTGCATCTGCCAAAGTCTGCCAAGGCAAAGGTTTCAGTGATTATCACTTTGGGGGAGAGGATCTTCTTGGTCAATCACAGCCACGACAAGGACGTGGTGTTGGAGAAGAACACCTGCGTGGCCGGATTCTACAAGGGGAAGTGGTGGCAGCACAAGGGCAGCAAAGACCAGGCTTCTGTCAAAGAGAGTGACATCTTGTTCACATTGAAGGATGCCGACAGCTTGATCCAGATCGGAAGCAAAGTGCACACCCTGGGCGAAGCAGTGCAGGAGATCGTAGACAAACGAGAAGCTCCCCCGGCCCCCCTTAACTCCACGCTTTTACCAGCAGCTAGCCTAAAAACGTTCGGCCCTTTCTGATATTAGGAGCGGCGCAAAACCCAGCCGGATGTGACTGTGTCCTACCACAAGATCTGCGATTCGCCGACAAGCACAAAGCCAGCCTTCTTCACGATGTCTCAAACTCACACAATCTATTGGGAGATCCAGGCAATCCCGGCTGACTGCATCCAGCATGATTTTGGTACTGGTTTCTACTTTTGGAGTTGAAGCCCCTTTGTGGGGGAGTTGTGGAACATGATTGCTAAGCTGGGCTTGCTAAGCCCTTTGTGTCCTGTGCAAGTCTGTCAGAAAGGCAAGTCGACTGTGAAGGACCAGGATGGCAAGACATGTGTCCCGGTCCATCACACGGGCGGAGTCATTCCATTTTCTCGGTGGGAGACATGGGCATCTACTTTGGTGTGGGCCTCTAAGTGGTCGCCGACCTGGTTCCATGCCGACCTTTGATTGTCTTGAAAGAATCCGTGCCACTCAGCCCTCAAACGGCAATCGAGCTGACAGCAAGTGAAGGACCATCAGCCGAGCCCGTGGCGTAAGAAGGCTGAGCCAAGCTTGCAGGTGCCACGGCACCCGAAGGTGTTGTGACTGGTCATTGGCCTCTTGATTAGTGTGTGCAGACGGTCCAGACACCAACAGTTAGTCAACGTACTCTTCGGCACCTGAAACGGCAAGCAAATGTGGGAATGCCTGGCCAGCACAGCTACCTGCTTTTTGAATCTAGTTTTCCAGGACACAAGCGCAGGAGATTGTACCGATTGCGCCTCTGTGTTGGCTCGCCGCCGGGGATGTGCCTATGTGTTCATTGGCTCGCCTCAGAGTTCACATAAAGAGTATAGAAGACCAAACTGCAAGAATGCTGCTTTAATTTTTTATGAATCACACATGCTGCTTCTTGTTACTGTTACAAGATCCGAATGGCTAGCCAAGAATTATTTGTTTCTTCAACTGCCTTGCACCTGAGACCGTTTCAGCCAGGCTTCTTGTTGGGTTTGCAGCATACAGTAGCCACACACAGAGACTAATGGAACTCTGGAGCAGGTGTCTCATGGCAGTTTAGAAAGGTTTGCACTGCGAAAGCCAGTGGCATGACAAAAGGCAGCGACGAGGTCACTGTGCAAGCCCAGAGCAGTGCGTTTTTTTCGACATGACCTGAGGGCATGGCAAAATAGTCCTGGCTGCTTCGAGGTCACAGCCTCCAGGAATCAGTCTTCGTGTGCGTGCGAGGAGAAGGTGTACGCAAAGGCCGGACATTCTGTCATTGTGGCGATCGCTTCTCCAGAGCTTTGCATTAACAGTCCAGCCTGTACACGGAGCAGTGAAACAAATGCGCGAGGCTTTGAGTACATCTTCTCTTCCCATGCACATGAAGGTGCGTGACAGACAGACAGATAGATATAGAGAGAAACACCGACAAGGACAAAAAAGACAGCGAGAGAGAGAGAGAGAGAGAGAGACAGACAGAGAGACAGAGAGAGAGAGAGGGGAAGAGAGAGAGAGAGAGACAGGGAGACAGAGAGAGAGCGAGAGGAGAGTGATTGTTTGTGTTTATATATATATATGTATACACATGTATTTTTGTGGTTGTCTGTCTGGGGTACGTGTCAGTGTGCGTCTGCACGCACCTTCAGGTCTGACGATGTTGAGAAACATGGCAGTCATTTCTTCTTCTGATTCTTCTTCTGATACGATAAACGCAGAAGACGCTTCAGGTCTGCGTTCTGCTCCAAGATTTCACCTGCTTGGTCCTCAGCAATCTGTCCGTATCCTCGGAATGTCCTGTGCAGACACAGGACTGAAACTGTCAGTGTGGACAAGACTTTCGGGTAGTGATGTGGCCGGCCTGGCATCCGCGATTCGTGCGTACAGCATGGCAACCTCCTCTGGCACAGAGGCCAGTTTTAGATCCTGCACCATCTTCTGTCGACCGCTGTGAGACCTGACTTTCTCCGTGTCAATCCAAACACCTTTCGGAGTCTGAAACGTTTTACGAAGCCGCTGGATGGCTTTGCACACAGTGTCTTTGCATCGATTTACTTGTTTGCTATCCTTACGAACAGCAGGAAACAACAAGGCATTATTTTCCTTTGGGAAGGTCCACACATCTTGGAAAGGACGCTTACCCAGGATTCCTCTTGCGCGGCTCCTTTGTTTGCTAAGACCCTTGCTTTTTAAATGGCGCAAAACCTGAAACACGGCCGAAATCATGGGTTTCTTCACAGATTTCTGGCCTTTGAGCGGCTGTATCAAGACTGTTCGAGCCTTCCAACTGAAGTGTCCTGCACGTAGCTGTAATGCTTCTGTAACTCGCAAGCACAGAAGATGTGTTAGGAGCAAGCAGGCGTGCAGCCAGCATGAACCACTTTTATGAACATGTGCTAGCCACATAGCCCACAACTGCCCGGGCATGCTGGATGCTTTTCCTCTGCTCTTCACGGATCTCTTCTTCGTCGTCGCCTTGCGTGATGTCCGAGGTTTCTGCGCACGCAAGGCAGGAGATTTAGCCATGGTGTGCCAGGCAGGATGGAGCTGGATAATTGAGCCAATTACTGTGGACATGTTTATATTCTCGTGGGAGTCCGCCTACCCCGGGAGAAAGCGGACTCCCATGCCGAAACCCGAGTTTTAAGCCGACCCAGGTTTTAACGAGAGCCTCGATGACTTGATGTCACTCTCTCAGTGACGAGAAAGATTTGATGTCACTCTCTCAGTGACGAGAAAGATTTCATGTCACTCTCACAGTGACCAGAAAGGTTTCATGTCACTCTCGCAGTGACCATAAAGGTTTGATGTCACTCCCGCAGCGATCACTGTGATACTGCGCCACGCCGAGGCCAGCGCCGTGTGGCTTTCCGGGGCCAGGCACCTGAAGTGACAGTTCAGGCGTGCTTTGATGTCACGTCTGTTCACTCTGACACCAAGGCCAGCACCTTTCTGGAGCCAGGCACTGAAATCGGCCTGTCAGTCAGTTCGTTTCCGTGCATGACAGTCGATGGGGTCACTGAGAGAGTGGCCCACTCGTCATCCCCAGAACGGTCGTCGCTGAGAGAGCGGCTGTGCATTCTCGCAGTGTGACCTTGGGCTATGAATGAATATTCTCCCAGGCTCAATGCTGCTGCTGCTGTGCTGCAAGTGCTGCTCTGAGTGTTGAAGCAAGCACTCTCCCAGTGCTGATTCTTATGTCAAACGCGAAACTCAAATGTCATTGTAGCATTACCAAGGCCGACACGGTGTGGCTTCCCGGAGCCTGTCAGGCCCGGCAAGATGTGCCTCCGGATTCATCAGCTCCGACAGGCAGCTACACTCAAAGTACTAAGTGCGACCATGCTGGCCAAGCCTCAGGCACAGTCTCTGAAGATCCTCATCGCCCTGCCCTCAGCAGTTTGAGGCGCACTCTCTCATGCAGTGCTCCTCTTGATCCTGGTTTCTCGGTAGCTTGAAGCGCACTCTCTCAGTGCTCCTCATGATCCTGCTCTCTCACTGCCCTGAACAGCAATAGTAGTTAGTCTTCAGAATGGTTGCGACTGAGATGCAGGCCGTGTTGTTGGCTGTGATGAGAAAACGAGGCAGGGCAATTGACATTGAGTTGGCATACAGTACACTTCTGGTGTGCACGCAGCGGAGAACTGAGCCCCAGGCCTCATCCTCGGCGTGGCATTGCTTGCTGACCTTGCATTGTCTGAAAGGCAGGTCTGTTAACTTCTGGCGTGTTGTCGACTATGCTTGCAGTCAACATGACCCTGAACATGACTGCACTGTGAGAGTGCGTTCAGCAGCGGGGACATGCCATGTCAATGTTGTCAGCACAACATGTCTTGTGACTGCATGTCATGCAAAAGATGCCACAGAACCCTTTTCGCGTCAAGGCACATGATCCGACATTCATGTCCATCTAGAGCAACACACTTTTCTGTTCACAGTGCAAACAGAGCCGCATACCAAAACTTTGAGATGCTTCGAAGAGTGACACGACCGAGGTTTGACAGCCAGTAACATGTCCACAAAAACTGGTGTCTTCTGTGCACATACTACTACTACTACTACTACTACTACTACTACTACTACTACTACTACTACTACTACTACTACTACTACTACTACTACTACTACTACTACTACTACTACTACTACTACTACTACTACTACTACTACTACTACTACTACTACTACTACTACTACTTCTACTTAGCATAGACTGAGCACTTAGCATAGACTGAGCACGCACAAACCATGGCATGGAGGGAGGCTTCTGGCGGTAGTGGATGGTGGGACTGGGTGGAGGCTGATGCTGACAGTGACAGCCCACCCCCACTCCCACCGCCACCCCACCCCCCACCGGCACCGAAGGCGGTGCCAAAGGCAGCGGCACCGAAGGCGGTGCCAAAGGCAGCGGCACCGAAGGCGGTGCCAAAGGCAGCGGCACCCAAGGGGCGGAGTCCAGCGGCACCGAAAGCGGGGAGGCCGAAGGCTAAGGCAGTGGCCAAGGTGGCCCAGGAAAGAGGGCGACGACAGAACCGGGGCGACAGCCAGAACCGGAGAGAATATAACAGGTGGCTAGAGGACCATCGGAGGATGTTGCAGGCTGAGCACCAGCTGGAGACAGAGACCAACAGAGCCAATCTGGCCGAAGGCGAAGTGTGGACGCTGGAAATCGCCAATAGCGACTTGGTTGATAGAAACAACAGGCTCCTTCGCGACTTGGCTCGAGGCATGGAGGCCCGCTCAGGGCTGGAGCAGGAGAACCGGGAGCTGAGGCAGAAGCGCTCAGAGCTGGAGCAGGAGAACCGGGAGATGAGGCAGAAGCACTCAGACCTGGAGAAGAAGTTCACCATGACAGTGGCCTCGAACAAGAAGTTCCTGCAAGACGAGAAGAAAGAGTGGCAGGACAAAAAAAAGAAGGATGAGGCGGACCACAAACACCAAATCGACCTCAAGGATCGCCAGATAGAGGAGCTCAAGAAAGACTTCAACAACTTCAAGGCATGGTCGCCATCTTTTTTGGGCGCATGTTTGAGTGCCCGGACCATCAGGACTACATGCAGAAGAAGCTCGACGCAGAGGAGAAGAAGGTCAAGCTGGAGAGAGAGGAGAAGGTCGGGCTCCAAGGTCTTAGAGAAACCAGTGATAAGATGCGAATCATAATGTCTGCTTTTGCACTGCGAGAGTGCAGCAACCTGCTGGATTGCAGCAGCACTCAGGATCGCTACATGGGCTTGTGCAAGAGTTTCGAAGCCATGTTCAGCAAGGCGGGGGTCTTGTTGATTTACTTTGTGCTATTTCGTAAGATCGTCGCATGA